ACAGATACTAAATATCATAAACATATAAGCTAAAGGAAAATATCAACTTATGTGCTTGCTTTACTCATCACTCATTATCATTATTCATCATTTGATTCCTACCTTATATCCTTCTTATACCTGCCGACTTGAACCCATGGGCTAAGTCTTAATCAGGTGATTGGTAACTCTCAGAGCTTCCCACGCGTGTGATGCAGACCGGCTAAAGTCGGCAGAGCACACACAGGCCATGGGTTCCTCTAGAAAAGGGGGATTCTGCCCCAATGGGTTTACTGCCTAGTATCCTAACCGGGATGCTGCCCTCGAGGAATACTATCCCGGGATACTCTTGGAGTGTCGCAAATAAGGGGATACTGCCCTCTCTAATAGGCCAACCATAGTGCGCGCTATGGAGGCAAACCACGTGGTAATATATGTATATCAGGCTCCATCACACCACCTCTCCCCGAATATTAAACGAATTAATCACAGTCATGAAAGTTCTAAATTCTCATCAGGTATCTCAAGAGCATGTATCTTAAGAGATTTAAAACATACATTAACCATATAAGATACTTAATATCATACCATACAATAGCATTCTTAGATAATCAAGGGCATAAACATATCATTCCAGAAGCTCATGCTAACATATAAAACACGATCAAATAAAATAGCAGCTTGGATAAATCGCCTTGGTGAATAAATAACCTTTCGCCACAATAGACTACACAGTACATCCCGAGTCTACAATTTCATCCAAAAATCACTCATCAGGCTCCTATCCAGTCCTAAAGTTGTAGCAATTCATTCATTTTTCACAAATCACTCCTACCAAGTAACTTCCAAATGTCTATAAAGTTTTCTGATAGTTTCAAAACAGCTTTCCCATTCCATTATTATTCAAGCCTATCCTAAAGGGTTCAATTTAATTAAAAACTCCTCTTAGAGGAACTGATAGGAGAAAACAAGTAAGAATTCACGTTACTTATTGTCCAACAAGTGCTTACAAGTTAAAGATTAAGACCCTGAACTTGGGATCGTCAAACCAAATATCATATCTACAAACAGAAAATATACGTTACTATAGTATCTTATGGGTAAGCTACGTATTAAATTTTAACCCATAACTCCTTCCTTAAGGTTTCTAAATTGTTACTCAGAATTCTAGCTCGTGCAATTTTTCTAAGATCTGAAGTAAGAACATAGACACTATGCTTTAGATTAAATTCTTAAGTTTTTTTTAGCTTATATTATCTTTAAATTTCTAAATCATGTCATTATAATTTATTCACAACCCAAGTAGAAAACCTTCAAATTATAGCTTGTGTTCTATTTTCGAAAACTTAGAAAAACATATTTAATACAAGTTAAATTATTCTCACTACAGATTTTTAATTATTAATCTAACCGTTGAAATTAAAATATTATATGTCTTGAGTCTATTCTCCAAATTTTAGCTTGATCTAACGGTGAAAAAATTTTAAAAAATGATACTTTACTATTCAGTGTTCTATCTACAAAATCTGAAAATAAAGAGTTTAATGGATATCTAATAACTCATACCTCAAATATTGAATCAGTAATCCAACCGTTGAAATTGACGAAATAGATGTCTCGGACTGGAAGACCAAATTTCAGCCCGATCCAACGGTTTACGAACTTGCACATGACACTTTACTGAGACAGTCTCAGTTTTGTGCGAAAATATTTAACTTATTTTTAATTCTTTCCTACTACCACCTATTTATAGGCTTATAGAGTCTCATCTTCATATCATTTAGTCAATGTGAGACTTCTAAACATTTTTTTTATTTATTGGTTCATATATAAATAGTTATATATACACACACACACACCCATATGATCATAAATATTTTAATTATTTATATATATAATTAACCACTATTAAAGTGATCTCAATAAATATTTACTCACAGATTTACTTACGTCTTAAAGATTAAAAATTAGGATGTTACACTGCTCCAAAAAAGAAGGCCCATATTTTACTTCAATAGCCCATGTCAGTGAAACCCAGTTGTAAATTGCCTTAGATTTTTACTTACCGTTCATAACATATGACTAGGTTTCATCTTATTCCAAAAAATTGTTAAAAATGTTGTCAATATGAGAATGTTGTGAATATCACAGTTGGGTAAAAAATAATAATAATTTGAGTGAAAGTACTATAATTATATGGAAATTCCTCTCAAACACAAATACGTATGAGGTGGTCCTCCCGTTGATAATATAAGAAGTTAATAAGAAAAAATTATGATCCAAAATATATAAAGTTATCGGGATAATTAATGATATTTTTTCACTTTTACCCTTATTAATTTTTTTTGCTGAAATTTACTCATATTAACTGATGTAATTGATTTTCAAAGTTTTGAAAATGTGACTGCTCGTAATTTGTTTAAAGATAAAACAGGCAAATTTTATCATTATAGGACATATCAAATGACTAAATTGTAATCTTTTAGTTTGTGAAAAGAAAAAAACGTTAATCAACCTCTTATATTTTCTTAGTTTGTGAAAAAAATTTAATCAATTTTTTATATTATGAAGGGGAGTGAGTATTGAAAGTAGCTTTAAAAATTCTGAATAACTTGTTTGAACTCCTTTTAAAGCTTCAATTTACATGCAAAGCCATAATTGGCTTATTTGCTGTAATTCCTTAATGCGTGTTTGGAATCACAATTAAATACCCAAAAACACTTGTTCATTGTTGAGAATTTGTAATTATCACGAAATCAATATTAAGATAACAAAATGATAGAATTAAGTCAACTACATTAATTTTGATTCGCTTACTTGGGCACGAAGAAAAAAAAATTTCAAGAGTGATTCATCGGTTTAATAAATTAAGTCGATCATAATAAATTTAATTAACATTGTTAGAAGTATTCACTCCCCTTAAAATGATTAAAGCAATCAATCCAAACAAAATTAACCTTTTTGGCCAATAATCCTATTAGAATTAACCATCAAAAGTTAGATTGCACCTTCGATAATTATTCGATGTATAATTATATTTTGCAATCACTTCGATATTATTTTTATTCTATGCATCTATTATTATTTATCAAGAATAAAGAATGATACAGTTAATTTTAAACATTGGATAATTTTTTTAATGATTTCGAATATACTAATCTTGAAGATTTTATATGGGTCACAATAAAAAAAATTTAATAGTGATTTATGAGTTTACTGAATTAAGTTGATGCAATTAAATTTAAAATTCCTAGATATATGTAATATTAATTAAAAAGGAGCAAGACAACCATTGCCATTAAAATTATCAAAATTAGATTGCATCTTCTTATAGCTAACTTTTATAATTTATATTGATTGATTGTAATTTACATTATATAGATTATAGATTGTAACTTTTAATTTTACAAACACGAGTTTGCAGAAATTAATTGTTTATTATTGTTTGTGTCAAGGATGAATAATAAATTCATAAAGGGATTAAAGGCTAAATTTATTTACTGTGACAATTTAGCTCGAGACAAAATAGAGTTGATTCCATATGTTTTTCTCTTCTAACCTTTTTTTTTTTTTCGTTAATGGATTTAATGCTCCATTTGGATGGATAGAAAAATTGTGAAGAATATGAGGTAAAAATAAAGAAAAAAACTTGGGGGAAAGAAATTTATTGACATGATATTCCCCTGATTCTAAATATCAGAGCTATTTTATAGTATAATTTAAATTCTAAAATGAGTCTTATATTTAGAATTAGAGGAGTAACGATACTATTCATATATCCTAAGTTATCATATTGGAATACTTTCGAATAAAAACATCTGAAAAATAAATTTTTATATTTTATATTTTAAAATTAAAATGCATTTAAAAGTAGAGTAATAAATTGAAAGAAAAATAACATATGATATGTATATATATGTATATATATATTTCAACATATATTTTTCATGTTTTGTATATGTTTGAAAGTAAATTAAAAGAAATATATTTTCCATATTGTTGGAAGGTGATTTGGCAGGATTGGTTGGAGTGGGGAAAAAAAAAAATATGGCAATGCGAAGAAGAATATTTTTTCCAAAATTTATTTAACTAAATTATACTTTTAATCTTTTAACTTTATACAAAATTTTAATTTATTTTTTTAACTTTAAAAATATATCCTCAATCTTTTAGTCCAATTGTTATAGAAAAATTATCATTTCAAATTAACGATCTCAAAAGTAAAAAGCTAAATATATTTTTTAAAATTAAGGGATCAATTTGATATCTTATATAAAGAAAATATATATTGCGGGTCCCACCCCATTTTTTCCCCCTTCTTGCTTCTCTTCTCCTCACAATTTTTTCCTTCCATTTCCATACCCGGTTAATTTGTTTTGGCCTTTCGGGTAAATGTTCACTCCGTGCAGTGGCAATGTGAGTAAATATCCCACCGTAATCTCACAGTCGTTGAAAGGAGAAAGTCAAAAGGCGCCTACTCGGCGTCCACGGCGCTACATTCCCACATAAAGCGCTGACAGGTGTCCTCACTTTACCCACTCTCTCTCCTGGCGCGTGCGTAACGGAATCACTAAAATCCAATATCCAAAATCCAAATCAACGCCTCATCTTGATACCCACAAGTGACACGTCACGGAGAACTGTAGGAGACACGGAGACAGTGCCCCCGAATGACTCTTATAAATATGTTTTTGCAAATTCATGTATTTTAATGCCCCATGATGTGAATACAAAATCATCATGCATCGAGCATGTTCATGATGCCGGCTGTTCATTACTGTAATCACTACTATAATTATAATAAATTCTTATTAATCCCGTTTAATGCTCGATTAAATTCCTTATTTTGACCGTAGGCTCCGGTACAAAAAGCAGTGAGAGAGGGTGGGATTGACGAAGAAAAAAGGCCGGTGGGAAAGCAGAGACATAGATAAGGACAGACGAGACGATAGAAAAAGCCACCGTTTACAGTGATAAGATTCAGAGTGGGTGAGTTATGCATCCTCGGCTACATGTAAATTAATTAATAGGGTAATCTTTTTTCTGCAGGTAAATTGGTTGTATTTATATTCTGAGGGCGATGTTTGTATTGAGATTTGCGTAGGTCGGCAAATTTTTTCCCACGGTCTGCGTCACTGTTGTGCAGATCGATAAAAACTAGCGATAGATAACTCCTCATGCTGTGTTTGTAGTAGTTGTAATTGTTGCGAAAATCGTAGCCACAGATTTGTGATCTTCTCCTTGTTGCTTTCTGATTTGAAAATTAGTCTATCTCCTTGGGTGATTCTCTCTCTCTCTCTCTCTACACTCTATAAATCTCTGTCTCGGTGAGTGTTATAGACTTGTTTGACATGCTAAAACAGGGAGCGGATAGATAGTACTGAAGTAGGGATTCGCTGTTTTGACGTTGAAGGAACACTGTCCTTCGATAGCCTTCAGAGGAGGCCAAGTAGGGGAATTTATGTTGTCGTTGCAGTTCTGGGGTTCCTCTGTTTCATTGTCGCTCTGTCTTTGCTCGGTCGTTCGTTCTGTGCTCTTCTGCTCTGTAAGGCAGGGCTTGAGTCTCGTAAATCCGACTATCTCGATGCGTTTGAGGCCAAAAAGGTTTGTTGGGTTTTGCTGTTCTAATGAATACTTAAACCCTTTGCTCGTATTCTATTCTGAAGATTATCATCTGGTTGGTTTTTGCAGGACTTGTTCTGAAGTAGTGTGTTTTGGTGACTTTCACATACAGCGATTCTCATCCCTTTTCATCTTTTTAAGAGGGCAACTAAAAATTTTGAGAGGCTTCTTCCTTTCAGAGAGGTTTTATTTTAACTTGTGAGATATATTTAGAGTTTTGTGGTATTTTGAGAGGTTTTTTCTGGGTTAATCTACTCAGATGACCAACGCTCTGAAACAACTCACAAAACCTGGGAACCAGATGAATTTCCCCAAAATGTTAAAACAAAAGCATCGTGCCGTTCCTCCTCGTACGAAGCCCCTAGTGTCCAGAAAAGTGCGTATTTTTTATAACGATCCTGAGGCCACAGATTCATCTTCAAGTGAAGATGAAGATGGGTGGGAAAGTAGAAAGTTGAAAAGGGTAAAACGATGTGTTCAAGAGCTCACTCTACCTCCAGTTGCTGAGAAGCTCAAACTTATTGAAACTGACGGCTCTAATCGTAACTTTAATGGCAAGGGAGGTACAGATTGTGAACCAGTTAAACCCACTCCACGGAAGAGACGCGCCTCTTCGCAATACAGAGGCGTCCGACTCAGAAACTCAGGCAAATGGGCTGCGGAGATTCGTCATCCTATCAAGGGTCGTAAATGGTTGGGTACTTTTGATACCCCAGAGGAGGCCTCTCAAGCCTATGAAGCCAAAAGAAGAGAGTTTGAAGCCATGGATTTCTCTAAGAAGAACCTTCCTTCTGTTACTGTTTCTTCATATTCGTCTTCTGCGGAAGACTCATGCAGTGTTATTTCTCAGTCATCACCACCCTCTGTTCTTGAAGTCTATACTTCCATTGGGAATGGTCGTATTTCAACAAAAGAATTCGATCATTTTGAGTCTGCGCTTGCAGCTTTGCAGATGCCGGATTCGGTTTTGTCGACTTCATCACCTTCGTCTTTGAATTCATCAGAGGATTATGAGTCCTCAGGAAATGAAGCCAGTGATCTGGAGCAGCAAGGATTTTGGGGAAACACACGATTTGAGAGCAGCAAAGATTCAAGCAAAGGCGGGAATGATCTGGCGTCGGAACTTGAAGCGAGTATGGAAATACACGATTTGAGTTTGGCTGAAGTGGCAATTCCGGTATGTTCAGAGCCTGATGGGTTTGATTTGGATTGTTTAATGGTGAATGATTGGGAACAGGGATTTGAAGATGACGATGATCTTTCTGGGTTGCTGGGTAATGGAATTGGCGGGTTTAATGACGACGGGCCTTGTGAGCTTCCAGATTTCGATTTTGGTGCAGATGATGAGTTTGCTGGTTGGATTGAGGAATCCCTCAATATTCCATGTGCATGAGTGTTGCAGATAAAATGGAAATAATTGAGTTTCTGTATGTCTGAAAAATTTTGCTTTTGTTCTCCTGAGAATGATTTGTGTTTGTTTCATTAAAATTTGTCAGGAGAGAGGCTTTTCGAATCCTTTGGGTTTTCCTGTGCTATTTGAGCCGTCCAAGGGGTTCTCAAGCTTTCTGTGCTCTCAGTTTCGTGTTAATTCCCACTTAACCGCAAGCTTCTTTTTTTTTTTAAAAAAAAAAACTTCATGTGCCATATTAAACTGGAACCAAATCGTAATTTTAGAAGTAAAAAAATTTGTCTTGATTTACAATATCCAAACACTCCTTGAATAATAAGTCTTTTTTGTATGAGCGTGTTCTTTTGTGTTTTGATCAGCTAGTCCATGTAGAGGTTCGAGAGCAGGATATATGAAAAGAAAGCATTTATTTTATCAAAAAATGATGTAATATATATTTTTGAAATATATAATGATATAGTAAAAGGAATGAAATTAGAGTTAGAAATATGTGTATAAATCGTCGGTATATCTGAAAAGATAAATGTGGGACGTACTTTGGGAGTCCCATATGGAGCAAAGCTAGCTGGATCCCACTGCGATTGGGTCACCCTGTCAGCGACTTGTTGATATTCCGGTTTCAGCCAAACTAAAAGGTACTGCATGGTCCCATTTTTAATCATGCTCTCATCCCATTGATCCTATTTTTATATACTATGTGTATGCTACCTCCGTTACTAATTACTCTTTCTGTTTTAAATATAAAACTCTTAAACACTATATAGATCTTACATTTAGGATCAGAAAAGTATAATTATAAGATCTTGTTTATAATCTTAAAATCAGAGGTAGTATAATATTAATATTAATGGTCCGCGAAGATGAGTTTTTTTCCGTTCATTATATTTTTTTGGCCAGCCAGAAAGATGAGATTTTGAAATAGTTATGACCTTGACTATTAGATATGATATATATATATATATATATATATATCTATAAAAGATACTTGTGAATTCAAAATTACTCGATCCTGTAACCATAAGATTGAATTTACTCCGACCCAAGCAGATTCAAATTCATGAAGATATTGGAGTGAATAAATAATAATAATAATAAGGTTAAGTTGGATCAGGTGACAATCATTATTTTAAATTAATTTTTTGTGTATCCATTACTTTAAATATTTTTTTTAGTAACACCTAATATTTTAAAATAATTTATTGACACAATGTTGTCTTCTTCTTTTTTTCCCCTGTTACAACAAAGTATCCTACCCTTAGCATCCATGCATTAATTGAAAAATATTTTAAAACGTAGAATGTATCAAAAATTAAAAATTATTTTAAGATATTGACCATAGTACTATTTGAGAAAATAATTCTAGACTTTGGATGTTGTATAGTCCATGAAAATACTATTGGGAAGGATGAGGATGGGGATGAATCGAGTGGAGAGTACGTAAAATGGGACCCGACCCGAACTGACCGAAGCACAAAGAAATGAGAGTATTTTTGGCGTGATGGGGGGGGGGGGGTCCGAACGTTGATAGGATCTCATTGATCTTGGACAGGGGGGCTGCATCTATTGGGCCTACCAGCACACACGTGTTATTTTAATCATACTCAACGTTCATTCAATTAAATTGATTAGGGTTAATTTATGTGGTTTGCCTGGGCTGACTTTTGTCTCTACTGGCTGCATATCTTTGTCATCCTTGTTTCCCACAATTTAACAATGACATATATTCTCGCGTGTTTATTTGTATTTCCTTTCTTTTTGTTATTTGTTTATTCAAATAAATAATTCATAACTGATTATGATGTGTCTACCAGTGAACTAAAAGGTGAAGGGCAATTTCTTGCTTTGCCTCCACGTTAAGGTGATGGACCAATTCCCATAATTTTTCTCCTCTCACTGAATTAAGAAGTCTCATTTGCACTCAGTTTTGCTTCTTAAAATATTCGTCTGTTCATTCGATTGAAGGGCAAAAATTTACGCCAAACCCTTTCAAGTTCTTTTTTGAGGCAAAAATTTACGCCAACTTTTCTGGGGATTTTATTTGAAGTTGAGTAATTAGGAATAATCCCTTAATTAAAAAACTTGAGAATAAGTTGATCACTGTAATTAATTAAAGAGCAAAAGAAAAAAAGAAAAAAGAAAATAAGTGACAGGTTTTGGATGGAATTTAAGGAAGGACCCAACGAAGGACGAAGGCGGTGCCAAGCTGGAGTGCAGTAGATGGAGGGCGGGAAACCATGTGATGTTAATAATAATAATAATAATGGAGACTGGTCTCATCTCGTGACTGTGTTTCATCCCTCATTAGCTTCAGTGGGTCCCCTCCGACTTCTATCCAGGCGACTGTTTCATCCACATCATCATCGCCCCTTCAATCTTTGACCGTTTGACTCTTCTATCCCCCCTTCACTGCTGGTTTATTTGCAGCACTATAAATTCATCATCTGCAACAAGGCTCATCACATTAACTAGGATTAGCTTACCGCGTTGCTGTACCTTATAAAATAAATTCTTAATTCAAAGATCACACTTAATAATTTCACTAAATGTTATATTCAGTCTTTTTCTATTGCTTTCCAAAAGATTTCATATTGCTTTGATTTACTCTCCTTATCAGTGCATTTAATAGTTTTCTTTGCATATGTCTAAAGCACCTTGATAGAAAATAGTAAGGTCATCACTTCATAAATAACGCAAAGTAAATTAATACCTCCGATCTTAAATATAAAACCTAATATACAAACTAGGTCTTAATTATATCTAGCTATTGGAGCTCACAAACATAATATTCTTCCCGTCATTGTTGAATGTAAGAGCAAAATAAATGGAAAAACGGTGGAAACACAGAACATTCTATTTCCACCACACATATAAGTAGTAAGTGGGGCTTTCTGTTGACACTTTGCCATTTTCAAACGGGGTAGAAAAGCCTTTTTCCTCTTTTTTCAATACTTTGGGCTATTTAAGACTTTTCCATCTCTTTTGTTGCGTCAACCATCAATGACTTAACTATGGTATTAGCCTCCACCAATTTTGTCCTTAGCTGCAAACTGTGCTTGCATTTGGATACATATATCAGATTCAAAGCATCAGATTCTTTTTTCTCCATTATGAGCTTGTGGTCTTCAGCCTGAAAACACGCTTGTAGAATTAATAATGAACTAGTGCTGTTACGTTGGCTATCAACTTATATTTGTTTTACTCGTAATAAAGCAAGTTGCTTTTCATCAAAGAATAGCCGTAGCTTGCAATCTTCATGACACAACAAAATCATGACTATTCCAATTCATACAATCCTTTCCAAATACTGCTACGTTCTTTCAAGCAATCTTCTACCCCCATAACCTTGATGAATCTTGGGCCTGAATTACCCTGGGGATTGGAGAACCCATTGGTATAAACCAGAGACAGCCCAACACAGAGCCCGACAATTCCAAGCATTTGGTTTGGCATGATAACATTAAAGCATAAATAAAATAGAGTTTATCCTCGCAGTCTGTATGGAAGGAGTTTCGTGACTAACACTAAAACCCTTTGGAAAGTTTATGATGTGAAGAGATTAGTCACTACTACCAGCAATGGATATCTTGAACTCAACTAAAAAAAATATAACATCAATAGCCTTACAGCCTGGCAGCATGTGAGCAAAATACCACAGGTTCAATCTTGTTCATAATCTCAGATTACTAGTGTTTGCTCCTTTAATTCAAAGGAATAAAATTTAACACACAGGATGATGGATCAGTCTTTTTCGACCAAGCCTAGGTACTCCATTACAACGGTTTATTTAGTGGGTTATTGAATGAAGCAGATTTCTCATCACATGAATATGAAAGGTAATTGAATCAAAGGAGATATTTATTTGCTACGAATTATTGCATACGATGACTTTCATAGGAAGCCCTTCTCCTGGAAGCTCTTGATGCAGTCATCAAACATTTGTTCAAGGGTTTTGAATGGAGGAAACCCTAATTCAGCAATTTTGGTGGTATCCATGCTGTGTGGGTTGTTATCTCCTTCCCGGCTGCCACACCTACAAATTTCATTATTGGAATTTACTTCAGCAGGCAAGCCAAAAACTAGCATAACTCCAAATTATCAGAGAACTGTCCGTGTTCTCCAATCAAATCTTAATATGGCTCAGAGTTATATCCATATGCTGTAAAATAGCTCGATTTGACTCACTTGTTTTCAAATGGGTAGGAAGGATATTTAGCCCGAAGCATTTCGATGATCTCTGACCAGTGAGCTACGGTGCTGGAACAAATAAGCCTGCAGCCGGATGCTCTGGGTTCAGCCATAGCCAACAGATGAGCTGCTATCACATCATCTATATGCACAAACCCTACTGCTGTGTTTGGATATTCTCCATTTAAACCTACTTGAATGAAGGACTGGGCACATTAAGTATGAAGTGCAGATCAACTTGCTAAAACCAAAAAGAAAATACCCATTTAGTCCTATTTATGAGATATTTCCAACATGTTTTTAGAACTAAGAAAAGTCTCAAACCTTATTAACTCGGTCTTCAAATTTAAAAACTTTCTAGCTTTATCCGTATTTAATGCATTCTTTATATCTTAGTGGCTTGTTTATATGAATAATAAATTCCGGGTACAGTTATATATTTCATGTGAAAAATTTAATAATTTGACTTATAAACAGGACAGAAACACACCCTCTCTACCTTATACATAGAACTAGGGAAGGATCAAACGTGAGAAGCTAACCCTTGACAACGCTTAGAATGGCCATGAGGGTACTGGTTGGTTGTGGTGCAAGCAGAGGACCAACAACAAAAGATGGGTTAACCACTACCAGATCCAACCCACTTTCTTTCGCCATCCTCCATGCTTCTTTCTCTGCCATAGTCTTTGAATATGCATACCATAGCTGCATATCAGTGACAGATTCATCTAATTAACGGAATTGCAATATATACAAGCAAATATGAGAATCTTAAATACCAAATATGTTAGATCGTACATCAAATAGTTGATTAAATAAAAAAAGAAATAACGAGTGTTACATTGTAGCGTTTGCAGTACTCAGGATCACTCCAATGTGACTCGTTAAGAGTAGTCAGTTCTTGTTGTTGAACATCATTGCGATATCTGATGGAAGAGCAAGAAGAGGTGAGAACCACCCGTTTCACTCGTGCTTCTATGCAGGAGTTAAGCACATTCACAGTGCCCTTTACGGCCGGATC